GATGAACGCTGTTTAAGTCTTAACAAGCAGAATTCTTCCTCTAGTGCCATTCAAAGTCTTTTCAGTTACCCTATTTGCGGGAAAATTGTTCTGTTCACGTGTCGGTCTCGTCAGCTACACGAGAAGCCGTCAAGGGCAAAACCGGTTGATTTAAACTGAGAAGACGATTTACAAGGACAACAATTATTGTATGGGTGAAAATAACATGTTATATTGTTCTTATAAACATATATATATATATATATATATATATATATATATATATATATATATATATATATATATTTATAAGAACATATATATATATATCCTGAAAATTCTACGAAAATTATTAAGATATTGACTTCCATTCTAAGATCTAACAGTATATAACGTCACTGGTTAGATAATTAATATCTTTTCATAATTTGATGTGTGTATATAGTAACATTTTGCAGTAAATATCACGTCGCCTTACCAATCGGCCACAAAGGAGCGTTCGGTAGGCAAGGTCGAATTGAAGTTTATAAGCAGTAAATTCGACCATGCCTACCGAACGCTCCTTTGTGGCCGACTTCGTTAAGGCACGTCAGTAAATGACGGTTCCGTATAGGATGCAGGTTCGAATGCTGTCAAAGGACGAATATTTTCTATGAAGATTTCTCGGACATTCAGGCCAGTAAATGTTATTTAATACTGTTTATTATAAACAGAGCATTTACTTAAATACTTGTATCTATAAAAAAGAACGTTAAACATAAAATGTCTTTAATAAATATATATATATATTAGGTTTGTGCAAAATAATGTCGTTTTTGACGTACTTTTCTACGTCAAAAAACGACATTCTTACGTCATTATTTTTGCACCTAATATATATATATATATATATATATATATATATATATATATATATATATATATATATATTCTCCCTCCTGCTATGGGTTAATTACTAGGGCTGACTGGGCTCGTGAAGGTCAACCAGTCTAGAAGAAATAAAATCCCTGAAATCACAGCTGTGTAGCCCTAGCCAAATATATGCTATGTAGTGAAGTAATGAATCGCTGAGTTCACAAGGATACCTTTATCTCAACTACGGTCGATCCTATAGAGATAGAGAACGAAAGAAAGATGAAACGAATCGAAAAAAATATCCCTGTGTCACTCTTCTTTTTTCAGTGTTTGTTTAGCGGTCTTTCAGCATGAAGTATTGGTTAACGCACCTCGTCTGACAGATTATTAATAAAGTGTAGAGTTCGATTCTCGCTGCGCGTACCCTACAAAAAATGAAAGAAGTGAAGTGGCATGAAATATTAGATAATATTAATTCTTAAAACATTCATAAAGTTTATACGAATCCTGATAGCATAATTAATATATAATGTTTTCAGATTTTAATATATATATATATATGAAAAAAGTGTATATCTGTAAAGTGAAAATATGAAAAAAGACAAAAGGAAAAATATGTTAGGCATTTCGTCAAAATAAATGTAAGGATTTTATGTGATGACAAGTATTTATATACGGGAGCAAAAATGTTATTGGTTTTTCAATGTTTTTGGGATAGGGGTGCTCATGAATATTCATCAGGTTAGCGGAAAAGTCAGGCAAGTTCATGTGCGTGTGCTGATACCGTCCGATGCCTAATAAACTAAATTGAGTAGACGTTTTCTTTTGTCTTTTAAGTATATATATATATATATATATATATATATATATATATATATATATATATTTATTTAAATGGATTGGGATTGATTTATATGTTATATATTTAGAATAGCATGAGGTTATGGATTTAAAAATTCTCTTTTAATTTCGTTGTACTTTTGTGGTAATATGTATTGGCTTGGGATACTGATAAATTCATCTAGAAAGGAGATATGGGGAAGAATCCGGGACGCAAATTTATATTTTGATAAGATTCGATAGCAGCACTTTCGAAAATTTTCTTTTTAAGTTACTTTCTATTTTAACGAGTGTGGCATTCGCTAGGTCAAAGTTGTTGTCGAATTTACTTATATATATAACAAACGCATTTGATAAATTGTTGTGCATTAGGTCTCTTTTATGTTCATAGTTTTATTTTAAATTCCTGCAAGTTAACCCAATGTATTGTGACTAATATATATATATATATATATATATATATATATATATATATATATATATATTTGGTTGGATAGATGTGAGTTTGTGACCCTGGGTTTTACGCTTTAGCGATCGTCAGACAAACTGATTAATTTTTTTTTTTAAATTTGGGTTTATGTAGATTGCGTGTATTGGTGTTATTGTGAAAGTGGTGAGGGAAACTTCGTCGTTTTGTCATCGTACTAACGCAAACATCGATGTATGCAGACACATATACATACTTGGTCGTCCGTCGGGACTCATACATATATAAATATATGTGGGCAGTTTCGGATATGACATATGTGTGTATACGGGTGGTATTATGTCTATACATACGCATTTGTATGTTGAAATTTAAAGATTGGAAGTGTGGCGGAAATGTCTCGTGAATGTCTCGTGAATGTATACATGTCATATTGTTTATTTTTCCGCTGAATAATATTTCCTCGCATGTATGTATATACGTGTGGTGGGGTTTGTGTAAAATTATGATAGGTAAAAATATTATTATTTATATTTATTTTTAAATTTTTGAAAAAAAATAGGTGTTTATTTGTTATATTTAAAGCTGGTTATTTGTTTGTTTTGGTGACTGTGTATATGTAACAGGTAGAAATTTGTAATCCTTATTGGTTATTTTATATGGTGATGTTTAATATTTAATATGCTGGATGAGAGGGTAGTTTAATTTAATAACGGGTTTATATGATATGATATGATAGTAATGTTGCAAGGGATTGGAGACAATGATAATATAATTAGCTAATAGTTATTGTAAATTGGTAGAAATTATAAATTGGTAGAAATTGTAAATTGGTAGTAACGGTGGTGGGAGAATGATAAAACCATGAATGTAGTTATAGTGGTGGTAGCTTGAACTAAAAAGTGGTTGTTGGTGTTTTATTTTATTTTATTTTATTTTGTTATATGTATTAATTTATTTTGGTATAAATCCTGATAATAGGTATTCTGTGTAAACTTATGGTAGTTGAAGATTGCTATAATTTTTAATTTTTAATTTATAATTTACAAACATATTATTGTTATTATATTAAAGCTGGTTATTTCCTTGATTTTTTTTGTGACTGTGGATATGTGACTGGTAGAAATTTCAGTTTGTAATCCTTATTGCTTATTTTTATGGTGGTATTAAATATGCTGGGAGAGGGGGTAGTTTACGTTAATAATTATGGCAGGATTTTATGGTAATGGTAGATATGGTGTGATAGTAATATGTAAGGGGGTTGATGGCAATAATAATATAAGTGGTTAATATTTATTGTAAATTGTTAGTAGTGATTAGTAATGTTTGTGGGAGAGTAATAAAAATCTATAAATGTAATTATTGTGGTGCTAGCTTGAACTAAAGAGTGGTTGTTGGTGTTTTATTTTATTTTATTTTCTATATTTATTTGTTTATTTTTTATTTATTATGAATCCTGGTAATAGGTGTTTATTCTCATGGTTACATTTGGAAATTATATCTGATCTTATTGCTTTAAGCTATTAAATATGCTGGGGGAGTAATATGCGTTAAAGATTGTAGTGGATTTATATGTTAATAGTAGGTGTGATGTGTAAGTGATGGTGCTGGGTGCTGGTGGTAATGATACTATTATTAGTTAATAGTTATTGTAAAGTGAGTTTTCATTCTCTCTTTCTTACACCTCAAAGCTAGAAAGCCCATTCTACTCTTCTATTTAATCCATAACTAGGGAAAAGACGGGTTCTTGCCTTCGGGATTTATGCGAAATTGAATACAATAGAGTTGAACAGAATAGAACTTCATTCTTCGATTCTAGTTTCCGCGTTGATATCCGTCACACTACTTAGATATTATTTTGTATTTTCCAAAACCAAAAGCATCTAACTGGTTATTGCAATAAAATTCCGTAAAGCTAACAGCAATAAGGATTGTATATCAACGGCGTGTGATTAATTGTAATTATAGTCCACAGCTTTGATTTCTTGAATTTTTCTTTCATTTAATTTCCTGTTTAAATGCCACCGCAAGCTAAATCGGTGTTTTTATACATATGCTGTTCTTGGTGCCAAATGTGTGGCAGTGAAATCAGAGCTGACTTTTCAACTCAGTTCAAAAGATGCCTGCGGAAATGTACTGAGCCGAATGCAAACGTTCCTCTCGTTGCATAATTTGATCCCTCATTAAGCCGGTTTTTCAACATCACTGAGGTCTTTTGGAATTCTGTTTCCGATATTTAAATGGCCAGAAAATCAATACGAGCCAAAAGAAAAAAAAAAACAAACTACTCTCTTATCAACAGGTCCATTAAAAATGTTTGCAACATCAAATTTTCGTACAGTTTTATCCGGAATCAACAATTCAGTATAGATGCTGATCGGATATATGTGTTTTTGTACAGACAAGTAATATGCTATGATTATATTTTGGGAAGGTGAATTTCTTTGATTTTGTCTTGTTATTCTAATTTTGCATGGTCGTAACGAGAGAATGACTGCCTCGACTTGTCACATATTCTTCAGTGGCAATATATTCTGTAAGCAGTAACATAGCTTTCTTTCTCAAAACTGTGTTATTGTCTATTACGATATTTTCTCATGATTACGTGATGCTAATTGTGGAAGCATTGTCCTGGTTGAACAGCCCACGTTGTGATATGTAAAACGAACAGATTTTAAAGAGAAATCACCTGCAGACGTTAAATCAGGACAGCCTCCATTGTCTTTATCAATATTAAATGTTCTTTGTTTTAATTTATCGATATTTTTTATTGATCCATTTTACTCAGATAGAGAGAGGACATAATTTTGCATGCATCTTAATACATGGGGATATGACAAGCCCTAATGAAAACTTACCTTGACCTTCTACTTAGAAACGTATCGTCAGATCAATGCCAATGAGCTGGACCCATTTTCTATATTTCTTTCTTTTTTCTTTCTTTCTTTCTCCTCGCTGTGTGAAGACTTTGGTTCTGCAATTAAGAGAAACTTTTTCTTTCCTTTTTTGTTTTTATTCTGTATTAGCCAATATACGACGATAGAAAGAATCTCTTGCTTTTCCTTGTTCTTCCTTTTCTTTAGTCTTTAGACCTTACACAAATTCTTCCTTTTCTTTTTTGCCTTCTCTGCTTATATTCAACGATTTGTCTTTCTTTCTTTCTTTCTTTCTTCAATTCTTTCTTTCTTTCATTCTTCAATTCTTTCTTCTTCGTTCCCTTCTTTCTGCGTTCCTTTCTTCGTTTCTTCGTTTCTTTCTTTCTTTCTTTCTTTCTTTCTTTCTTCAATTCTTTCCTTCTTCGGTCCTTTCTTTCTTTCTGCGTTCCTTTCTTCGTTTCTTTCTTTCTTTCTTTCTTTCTTTCTTTCTTCATTTCTTTCCTTCTTCGTTTCTTTCTTTCTTTCTTTCTTTCTTCAATTCTTTCTTTCATTCTTCAATTCCTTCCTTCTTTCTTTCTTTCTGCGTTCCTTTCTTCGTTTCTTTATTTCTTTCTTTCTTTCTTTCTTCAATTCTTTCCTTCTTCGGTCCTTTTTTTCTTTCTGCGTTCCCTTCTTCGTTTCTTTCTTTCTTCCTTCTTTCTTTCATTCTTCCTTCTTTCTTTCATTCTTCATTTCTTTCCTTCTTCGTTCCATTCTTTCTCTCTGCGTTCCTTTCTTCGTTTCTTTCTTTCTTCAATTCTTTCTTTCATGCTTCAATTCATTCCTTCTTCCTTTCTTTCTTTCTTTCTTTCTTTCTTTCTTTCTTTCTTTCTTTCTACGTTCCTTTCTTCGTTTCTTTCTTTCTTTAATTCTTTCTTTCCTTCTTCAATTCATTCCTTCTTCGTTCCTTTCTTTCTTTCTGCGTTCTTTTCTGCGTTCCTGTCTTCGTTTCTTTCTTCATTTTATCTCAGCTAAAATATCTTTGATTCTTCTTTATTCTCTTTGCTAGAACTGTTTGTATTTCTTCTTTCTTCTGTTCTTTGCGAGAAATACATGGAAACTTCTCTTTCTTTATGACTGATGGGGAAATTAGGAATTTTGGGAGCAGGTGTCCAAATGCAATGTCGTCTCGTCATGATATCGTTATTGCAAAGGGATGGGAGTCATTTGACCAAATAGAGTTGAATCGACTAGACAGCCATAAAGGTGTCGTAGGATAAATGCCCCGAATGGCTTAGCGCGTAGCTATTTATTGTGAAATGCAAAAGATCTGATAAATTCTCCCGGTGTTCTAAGGCTGATATCGATATTTTATGAATTGCTTTAAACCCCAGTCGCACCATTCCTTAAATAAATGCCATTGTTATCTTTGTTGGCAGGTGTATCTTAAAATCAATCGTTTGTGCTTTTTTGAAACCTCTCTCATGTATGTTGGCTGCCATCGCAGATCAATATACAGACAGACACAAATACAATCTGTTATTTTGTTCTTTTTATAATCTCAGGTATATGAGAATTCTATTACACCTTCCAGTTGTAAATGTTCTAGTAATGTCTTATAGTTTGTTTGACTAGTTAATGCCAATTTTTGAACAGAACAGCATCCCCGTTTATGTATTTTATTTTGTTTTATTAAACTTCTACCAATACAAGCCCCAAGTGTAGCTCAAGGTAGAGGATTACTAAATGAGGCAGGTGATATGAATGTATTAAGAACAAGAAATAAGTGGACATTTAGAAAATAAAGAACTTCGATAACGATTGGTTCTTGTCTTTAAGAGGTTAAGATTGTTCTGCACGTGGAAGCGTCCGCGCGGGAGATTTTTGTTTTTTCATAAAGTAGCAGATTTTGCACAAAGGTTTTCTGAAAGTAACTTCTTTCTAACAACTGGAATACGGAGGAAATGTGTTTGATTAGACTCCTTGGATGTATCATGATGTGTTTTGGTTATAAAGGCCTGAACTAGTGGAATGAAAAGTGGAGCTTATCTGAAGTTCTCCCATGGAAATAGCAATAGATTTTCGACGATGACCTTCAAGACCGTGAATATATATATATATATATATATATATATATATATATATATATATATATATATATAATAATTATATATATTAAGAAATGGACAAAGTCCGACAATTTATTTATTAAAGACATTTTTATGTTTAACGTTCTTTTTTATAGATACAAGTATTTAAGTAAATGCTCTGTTTATCATAAACAGTATTAAATAACATTTACCGGCCTGAATATCCGAGAAATTTTCATAGAAAATATTCGTCCTTTGACAGGATTCGAACCTGCATCCTATACGGAACCGTCTCGGCCACAAAGGAGCGTTCGGTAGGCAAGGTCGAATTTACTGCTTATATATATAATTAAGTTATGAAGAACTTGGTAATCCGTATGGAGAGAGCTCAATGTAAATCCAGAGCTAATATTTAAAAGAAAAACAGACCACTTTAAGGTACCATTATAATAATTTATTTCACCAGAGTCATTTTAAAGGACGCCGGATCATCAGATAACACTTCCAAAAATGAAACGAAACGAAAAATGAAATTAAAATTGATGGGTAGTGTAAGTTTTTGTAATTTAACAGAGAGTGTAAAGGGGATAGTTAAAGAGACATGGTAGAGTATAGGGAGAGATTAATTTCATATCTCTCTCAAGTATACTTTGTATTGGGGGAGGAGGAGTGACCAGACCTTGACCTATTTAGACGGTTAACTTAACAGAAGTGATATATAGATATATATCTGCCTAAGATATTTTAGCTCTTTCTTTCAGATGTTATAGATAAGTGTCCCTTTTATTTCCTGTTTCTGTAAGACTTTTTTATTACTAATATGTTCGTTCCATGGTTTTCTCAGCGCCCTTCTGTGGAACAACGTTTCTGTTTCAAGTTTTTTTCATCTCTGAGCAGATTGTCCAGCATATCATTACTGTAATAGGGAAACTTATATTACATAACGTTTTAATAATCTTTTTCTTCGTTCTACTACTTTGTAGAATGTGTGTCTTCACACTTATTGACATTATTGGCTCGGAGATTCTTCACGAACACACCAGCGCAGATCTGTACGTATTCACAGGATGTGAATACTGTAACTCGGTCAGTTATAACCTGTAATACTGTTCACTCGGGACAACTTATATTATTTCTCCTCTTCGAATGTGCGACTTACGTAAAAAAAAACTGAACAAGGCAAACAATAAGCTACAGTTCGATTTATATCGTGTACAGACTGTATGACTTAAATCTTTTAAATAAGAAAAAAAAAGAGAGAAAGGAGGGAGATTGAAAGTGACAGTGAAGATAAAAATAAAAATAAAGGAAGTGAGAGAAATGTAATACACAGAAAAGATAGGAAAAGGAAGTGTGAAAAGGAGAAAGAAAGAAAGAAAGAAAGAAAGAAAGAAGGACGGAGTGAAGAGAAAAGATTGAGAAAGAAAATGGAGAAATATAGGATATAAATGAAAGACAGAGGAAGGGAGAATAAGGAGATATACAAATGAAGGAGAAAGAAAAAAAGTATTATAACGATGAGAGAGAAAGAAAAGGAGATACAGAGCAAGGAAAAGAAAGGACTGACAAAGGAAGTTACATTGATAAAGGAAGAGAAGGAAAGGAGAGCGAGAAGTATGAAGAAGAGAGAAGAATAAGGAAAGGACAGAAAATAGAGAGAGAGGAAGGGAGTGACAGTATAATTAGAGAATGAATAGCAGATACAAAGAGAAATACTTGAGAAAAAATGGAGAGTAAGGAGGCAAGGTGGAATGGAGAGAAAGGGGGTAAATCGAAGAGGATAAAGAAAGCCAAGTAAAAAAAGAAATGAATTGATACACAGATAGATATTTCGAAGCTTGGTTTATTTTATCGCCTGTCACAATATTGACTTTTATAATCAGGCCAACTTCACACAATATCAGTCTGGATTGATTTGTTTTTTTTTTTTTTTTTTTTTTTTTTTTTTTTAGCTTATCATCTTTTCCAGTTTATTTAAAACCAGAAAATATTTTTAGATTGTAAGACTTTTTTTTTTCGAAATCATAAAGATTTAGCGACACATGTCATACTAATTAACCAAGGGAGAAAAAAAGCTGTTTGCACGTAAGGAAATATAGCAAACCCGACTGAAATTTGAACTCGGCTCTTCGATTTCCAATTTCAAGGCTTTATTCATTACATTATCCACACATTTAAGCTTACAGGACCTGGTATGCCCAAGCGGTCACCCATTTAGTTACTGGCCAGGCGCGACTTATCTTAACTTCGGTGATACGTAAAAAGAACCAATGTTTCAATGTGATTTGGACGTAGAGAACCTTCATTTTTTTCTACGTACCTTGTCCTTTCAGGACATGGCTGATCATGTGACTCAACAACCTTCTATCCCTTATTGGCGTTTGTCTCTATGTCAAACCTCCCGCCCCTGTTCCACCATCCATAGATTGTTAACGTTAAGTAATTTCTCTTTTTACGAATAGTTTTGATTTTATAACCTTCAGTGCGTTTGAATATTACGGACTTTTTACTATACGTCATTTTAATCTAGTAAAGACTGTTTGGAAACAGCTTTCCTCTTATATTTTTTAAAGAGTGTAATCAATACATGTTGGTGTAGGTTTTGAATCTCAATAACTCTTGGTATTCGGTTGGACACTTCAGCGTGTAGTAACGTTCAACTCGCACGACGACTGATTGTTAGTAGTCAGTTTGATTACGCATCAGAAAAAAGGTCCTCTTTTCTTGGGGGAAAAAAGTTGATTAATACTCTTCCTACACGGTAACTCCCGTTCTCAAGAAGGAATTGTGATGAAAATCTGTCAGCTTTAAAACTATTTCTTGGCTCAGCGCGTGCAACAATTATTGTTTGGTCAGCGACTATAACAAGTTGTAGATATCGACAAATCCATCGAATCAAAACTGGATTTCTTCTTTTATGATGATATGTATATATATATATATATATATATATATATATATATATATATATAGATAGAAAGTAGTGAGCTTATAAGAAGCCAAAACAACAATAAAAATATATTGATGGCTGAATAATGATAGTATAGACGGTTTACATTTATACGAATAAAATATTTTTATCCAAGAAATTGGAAACTTGCATCAAAGTTTTATTATCTTCAGAAAGATTCCTTTTATAGCATGAGCGAAATCTTCCTTATAAATTTCCCCGAATTTCAAAAGACATGATCGGTCAATACACAGTAAAATGGTTCTTCAGATTTGGTTGGTTGTATCCATAGTCAGATATGGAAGAAGACATTGAAACAATAAAACTGAATAAAAGCTCAATAGATTGCCTTATGTTGACATAAGAAACGTTTTGACCTTGTAATAAACAAATACTACTATTACTAATGATACTAGTTTCCACTTCATTAGACGGATCACCTCAGGATGAGACTCAACATTTCAAGAGGTAAAAATAGAAAATTAAAAAGGAAAAAAAATGTCCAAACCATGGAATAGGAAATGCCATTCTTGTAAGAATTTTCCAGCTCGAAATAAAAAAAGTATCAGGAAGATACTATTAAACATTATGTTCACACAGATTCTTTGATCGACGTTACTATTTACTGTTGTATTCTTGTAAAATCATTAAATATTGTTACTTTGATTTCAAGGTTAAAAGATAGCGGCATATAAAAGAAGCTATTGATACGAGCACAACTTGAAAATAATCCAAGCATTTACACTTTTTTTGTTTTTTTTTTGGAAGAAAACAAATGCAAATCTGTGTGTTTGCAAATATCAGCGCAGAAAATGGAATCAACAAATTGAGTTCAAATTCTAGTCTAGTCTGTTGCGTTTACTTCCGCATTTAGGAAAGGCATGGGTTCACCTCTTCGTCCCATAGTTTTGTGTTAAATAATAGAGTAGACCTGGGTCTCTATCTCTGGATGGCAAACAATCTTAAAAGGGGGAAAAGTTTGAATTTCAAACCGTAGAGGATGAAACGACAAACATTTCCAACATTTTCCCCAATAATGCTTGACACGTCTTAGAAAATAAAGAAAAAGAATCCGTAGACGTGAATGATTGCCTAAGGAAAATACAGCTTTTATTTATGAAATAAGTATCATTGAATTTTTAACCCAAATACGTATACATTTCAATTAATCTTGCTACGTATCCTCTTATAATATGGTTTTCTATTGTCATTTCAAGAATGGATATTGACAACCTAAATCCGTTTCTCGTCGTACACACTTTAATGACAACAATCTGTTATGTATTAATATAGTTCAGAATACGGAATGGTTTCCGCTGTCTATAATAGTAAGGATAACAGTAAGATGAACCATTTCCATACAGGAAACATTCATTAAATGAACAGTGTTATCGTCGGTGGAAAATTATAATTTATTTATATATTTATTTCCTGAAAATAGCCTTTTCAAGTTCATTATCTGCTAACAATTTCTTTTAGTACTAATAGAAGTTTGCCTTCAAACCTTTTGTTTATGTCAGTTTAGAAATTCAACATATTGATTATACTATTATTTATACTTCTAGTTACATGTGCTAGTTAATTTAGTTTTTGCTGCTCTTGGAAGTCTTCAAGTGATGTTCCCGTTGTTATTTGTGAAAGCTCTTGGTTTGTAATTATGTATTGCCAGGATCTGATGAAAGATTGTCTTCTTTAGGACCGAAAGGATTCATTTGTTTGAATACATTTTCTTCTTATTATTCCGTCAAAACATTTGTATTAAGCTGATAGCTTAGCCATATCTGAACAAGCGTGACAACATTAATGATATTTAGGAATATGATTCAAGTCCTCAGATTAATAGTCTGGTTTTGTAGCATCTTATTCAATTGGATAAGCATATCTCAAGCGCACCCTATGTTATATGTTACATTTCTTTATCTGTTATACAAAATTTGTTATAACTGCATCTGTCTATATTCCTGAGATGAGGTATAATGTACACTATTTACATCATCAGGACTATTGTCCTCATCTTCGTCGCCACATTTGTTATAACGTTTCGGCCGTTGTAATACCCAGAAATTCATACACAGATGTTCTCAAGGACACATGTCACAGAGGATAAAGGCGTTGGTTAGATCCAGTGACAGGACCCAAAGAGTGTGAGTTCAATACCTGGTTATGGTGGTGGAGAACGAGGGGAATTAACAAGAGATAACTAATAACTGACATCCAGTAGACATGGCACGTGGAACTAGAACAGTCTACCCCAGTGAGCGAAATAAAGGGTTCAGTTGGACATTCCAACTACCTGAAGAAGGCCGGAGCGTACAACGGCCGAAACGTTGTAATAAATATGGCGACAAAGACGAGGACGATAGTTGTTATAACTGATGCATATACAGAACTATTTAAAGTGTTTCTTCTTCTTCTTCTTCTTCTTCTTCTTCTTCTTCTTCTTCATTGTGCAGTGTTCCTTCAGGACGTTGGCGATTATGGCTCTCCAGAATGTCATTTGAAGTTCTTAATAAACTTTGTCTTTTTGTTATCTCCGCTAAATCCTGTCCTGCCATCTATTTACTCAATCCGGTAGGGTTGGTTATGGGTTGTTTCGTCTGTTCCTCCTGCCTTTAATATGTCCTGTGAGTATCAAATTTTCCAAGCTCTCTTTCCTCATTACGTTAAGTAAAAGTTAAGCAAAACATATTTCTGTAAAGCTTTGACATTGTTCACATGTTTCATCCATGGTATTCTCAGCATCCTTCTGTATAACTCTATATTTGATACTTTAAGTATATTCTTCAGATGCAAGGTGAATGTGATTATATTGTGTTGTTGTTCTATATTATTAGCATTTACTCTTATATCATTCTAAATGAATATCAAAATTTCCAAGTATTCTTTCCCCATTATGAATTCTTTCTTTCCAATGTTTTATAAGTATTTTTTTTTCATTTTCCCTAAAACTTAGTGTTTTTCTTATGTTCGACCCATGGTATTCTCACCACCCTTTTCTGGAACCACATTTCTGTTGCTGCAATTCTCTTCTTCATCTGTGAAGAGATTGTCCAACATTCACTGCCATATAGAGGGTGTGGCTGATATTACGTAACAATTCTATACTTTCTTTTTCTTTCTTTTTTTTCATGTTTCTTAATACGGTAGCCTTGGGAAAACAACTTTTGCTATTCCAATGCGCCTACGGATTTCAGTGACGCCCTTTCTTCAGGTAAAACACTTTCCAGATATTTAAATTGCTGTAATTCTTGATTTTTGCTATATCCAGTTTGTAGTTTGCACGTTGGACTCTTTTTTTTTTTTTTTTGCCAACAGCCATGCATTCTGTCTTCTTGAAATCGACGTTTACTCATTTAGTTCTGCTTTTTTTTCACTACTTTCTGTAGGTGTTCTGACAGTTTCCTTTCTGCGTCTCCTGTCTCCATTGAGTCACCATCATATCTTATGTTGTTAAGATAGTGGCCGCTAATAATAAATCATGGTAGCTCTTCTAATTCTCTCAGAAACGCTTCAGTGTACAGGTGGATTAACTCTAGTAAGAAAACACGTTCTTATTTTACACTCATTTCTAGATTTGTATATTTACTGTATTCCTTTTCTATCCATATGCAGCTTGGTTGCTGAGAGTAAAGGTTATTCTAATATCTTCTCCAAATATGTCAAGTTTCTTTGTGATGTACATCATCATTTAAAGTGTTTATTATTTATATATTCGATATCCTGAAGAGTAAGTTGTATTTAAGTATAAAACAAATATCCTCTCACGCGCCCCACATCTGAAAATTAAATCTACTGAAGATTTGCATAACTACTGAAGAAAAAAAGATTTATCTTGTTAAAAATTGCAAGATACGAAGTCCTGCTCCATAAATATTTCTGCCACTTTT